ACAAAATGACGAATGTGTGGTTCCATGTCCTCGTTTTCTTTGTTCTTATGCAAAACTACATAAAAGCAGCGCTCAATCACATCTTCGGCACGATTTTTTTCCCATTGGCGATTGCTTTGCGCGGACTTCACTTTGTCAAGGAATAGCAATGACGCCAAAACGCTGATCTTTGTTGACATGACACTTTTCTTTTCGATCCAATGTATGACAACATCATGGTACTCCGGCCGAACAATTGTTGTGAGGCGCATTTTTATCGCTAATAAGCCATTGTCATTGAAGTTTTCATCCTCGGCCTCCTCCTCTTGTTGCTTTTTTGTTTGATATTTATATCGTTTCTTTTTCGCCTGTGCAGCCGATGTTTCACCACTTGTCGACATGTTGAACTGCAAAGAAATAGAATAAAAACACGCACAATTTACTATAAAAACACTGATAAAATCACAAATATGTATTTTGCACTGAGTAATTTGTAAATGAATTGAATCAAAAGAAAGCACATAAAACGGAGATAGAATTAACACTTGATCTTACCTGATTGATGGTCACGACCAGACAATATATTTAGCTGCCGTCATCTGGATATTTCAGCTCATCTGGATGCCGTCAGCAGATGATGCGAAGTGAAAACAAAAGAAGGGATTGTTATAGTAATACCAGTATATAACAAGCTTATTTACCTATAACAATCACTTCTATTGTTTTCACTTTGTATCATCTGCTGACGATATCCAGATGAGCTGTAATATCCAGATGACGACAGCTAAATATATTGTCTGGTCACGACTGAAGTGATATTCAAAATCGAGAAAGAACTCTCTCGAATGCACATCACACTAACACAGTCTAAAGTTGCATCGAAATATTTGCAGTTTCAGCTTGAGAACGTTTTGTTGATATCAAAACAAAACAAAATCGAAAACAAGTTTCACTGAAAATATCTCTCTTGCAAGTTATCGATTGACAATGATCCGAATGTTGAATCTATTGTATTCATAAAAACCATCAACAAAGTGAAATTAACTCCTTCAAAAGCATAAAACAAATACAAAATACGCCGACACATTCAAATTATATGTTTTAGCACTTTAACAATCGAATGCATAGAAATTATGCAAGGAATGCAAATTCAAATAAAAAAATGTGACAGATCATTCGACTAACACACAACTCACACTGCATTCCGATGTAAGAAATATTCCTATGCTGTAAACACACAAATTTTTTGTTTATAAACCGTTTGAATAAGGAAATTGTATGTGCTGAACTAATGAACGGACTCACAGTTTGTGTATGTGTAAACACTAACAAGCAAACGAAACGGCATAATTATTAGCCTGTCGCCATGAATATACTCAAATCTGTATGGACTGCTGTGTGTTAATGTGTGTTAATGTGTGTTAATGTTGATTCAAATCATAAACAGACTTCACTGGCCAAAAATTGCTTACACAGAGTTGTGTTGTACGATTCTGAAAATGCGTTTAACATAAATACTTTCTTTTGTTTATTTATCGAATTCAAAGGAATGGCAACAATAAGTTATCAAAGCAATCGAATAGAGTCTATATATGTGCAAGCGACAAAGAAAAAAAACTTCAAACTTCATGCGTTTCAGATTTCTTTTTGGCTTCGGGAAGTGCCATTGTCAATCGCTTTGTTATATGAATGCCATTAAATAATATAAAATTCTGTGTTCTTTGAATTCAAAAGTACCATTTTCTCATTTAGAGACATGGGAAACACCCTAATATATATACACATATATAAATTTTAAATATAAATTTTATAAACTGAAAGTTTTAATTAATAATCGAAATCAAATAACTTAAGAGAAAAAACAAATCATATGACTATAGTCGTAGAAATACTCATTGAAATGTAACACCGATGGCACATATCAGTGAGTATTTCGAAGAGTTCAATCCAAGATTACCGACTATCTGAATGACTCGTAAAAATATGAAAAGAAAAAAATAAACCCTGAAATGTATCAAACATAAAATTAGGAGAATTAAATTATAGTCATCACACAGCATCTGGAAAGTGCAATCTATACATCAACTGTCAACTGTCATCCAGGACTTTTATCATTTTCTATTGGTCATTGATTTGGTCGATATCACTTCAGGTCGAGCCATATAACAGTCAAATTTCACAAACAATATCGAATTTGTCAAATGATATTTTTAATTTTTTTTTCTCCCTAAGAAACCGATAAATGGATAATTTGTATATATAAATACTCCTTAAATAAAAAATTAAAATAAAGAATAAATGAGTTTTTTTTTGTTTAACCCTCTAGTGCATAGCTCTGCTTTTAGGCGGAGTGTATGAATTATTGTCAAAAATGTATTTTTTTTCTAAAGTTTTTTACACATGAACTAAAACCTAGGGGGATTCCGCGCGTATTTATGTACCAAAATTTAACTTCATTCTTAAAATCTCATAAAAATTCAAATATCTCACCGTATCTGACAATATCCGTAAGTATTCACCGATATCCACCATGTAGGATACTTCAAATTTTGTCGAATATTTTGACATTTTTAGAATATGGGCGAATATGAGATAATAATGAATGGTGGTGAATTTTTGGCGCTGCAGACTGCATTAGCGACATTAAAATATTTATAATAGGTGAATTATTGTGACAGCTTCTAAGCTGTCATGATAGTTGTTTGTTACATGTGTGTAAGTTTTTGCATTACAAAGCAAAATTGAAATGTGCCATTTGCAATGGAACGGTTCTGGCGTGAGTATCAAAACTTCTACGAATATGAAATTCCAAAAATTATTAAAGATATTTTAGCTGTCTGTGCAATCTATAGAGCGTCATTAAGTAATTTAAATGAACAAAGTATAATCAGAACAAATCAATATATTTTTTAATATTGAAAAAATTCCACTTTTTTGGGGAAAAAATTATCAAACACGTTAGATGGCGTTAGTTTAAATGTAAATTTCTATGTACATACGGTGGCGCCGCCCTACACCAAAAATTACTGAACTATAGAGTAAGGTACTATTGTTAGAAGCTGTCATAATAATTCACCACTTCTTCATTCCCTGTTCTTGTCAAGTTCAACATTGTCGGTATTGCAGTTCAGAAAATCTCAAAATATCTCCAAAAAAATGTAAAGTTGTGTTAACATCTCTTGAATTTGTTGAAATTCCCCGAATTTGTTCATATTTATTCATATTTAAGAGCGCGGAATCCCCCTAGACTAAAACACATCCAGAAAGGATCAGCCTTTATTAAGGTATTTATCTGCAGGCTCGAAAGTGCGAAAAATCGCATCCCGTGAAAAAATTAATCACTCTCTTAGCATTTTTGAAACAATTTTAAACTAATTAATCCTCATTTGCTGGGCTCGTGAATTTTTATGTACATAATTTGAAGTATTTTCTTTCGATATTAATAGAATTAATTCATTTTTTTCATATGTGAAAATTTTAATGGCCAAACTCGAGCAATTTGAAAGGGCGAAATGAAGCTATAGCTATAAAAAAATTGGACGGATTCGAACTCAAGACCATACGACTCTTAGCGCATGCAATAATCAACTATACCATAGTCATCTTACAGTAACTATGCACACGAATCGTTGTGCCACACGAAACACATTTTTTCTTGAAATTTGAGAGATGTTTCTGGAAAAAATTAATGCACTAGAGGGTTAACATACCACCATCATGTGCAACAAGAGTGAATATTTATATTTCATTGGACAGATGTTCTTACTGAAGTTTCCAGTTGACATTGCATTTATTGGTGAGTTTATCGTTCAATTATGAATGGAAATTGACAATCATTTGTACATTTTCAGATGATTCAACAACAGAAGACGCATTGTACATTAAAAAGAAACAAGCCATTTATCGTACTTATTTAATTTGTATTTTTATTTTATTTTTTATTTGATAGAAATATTTTTTTAAAATCCCAATCGGTTGAATGGGAAATAATTTCGTCGCGTTATTCTTCTCTTACGGTAACAATTCAAAAATAATATAATTACAATTAACGTTAAAATCAATAGTATATACATAGGCAGACTGAATGATTCATCTTTCATATGAATAGATTTGTTTAAATTTGGTGATTGTTGTGGAAATGGATCGCTATCAAAATCAACATTTTCATTTCTAACATTCTCTCCACTTGTGTCGAATTTATTACTCAACATGGGCATATCAACCGATGGATTCTTATTTCGCCAACTCTTTGCCGGTAGATCAATGTCGTCTGGACTCAGATTTCCTAATGAACGAAATTTCATTTAGAGCGAACGTTTTATACTGTGATTAAATAAATTGAAATGATTTTCTTTTAAATTGCACATTACGTACCTCACCTTTTTGACTTTCAAGCTTTCGCCGAAGATTTGATTCGCCCACTTCATATAAATCATCTTTGCTTCGTCCATTTAAATGAAAATCAGCTGGAGCGCTAATATTTAAAAATATTGGCGTTTCCCACTGCAGTCGATTGCATTTTGGAATTGAACGTTTTATTTGAATATTTGTTTTTGATGGGATGTCACCATCTACGGTATTCGTGATTTCAGCATTTCGCATCAAAACTTTTGAATATAAATGCAAATTGTTGTTGGGCAATCTTTTTGGTTTTGCATTGGTCGCTGAAAATTTAATATTCGGAGAATGATTTAGATCTTTGAGAATTGTTGACACATGCGATGTCATCGTGTACTCAAGAAGAGCGTCCAACAACCAAAAGCACGGTTTCTCAATGTGTGACGAATCAAGGCAATTTGAATCTCCATACACCACAATGCGCCCTTCATTCGAATGCAATTTTTGAATATGTTCATCATTTGACACGGCAGCACCAGCAGCACCAGCACCAGTAACCGAATATTGTTTCATCACTTTCATTTTATCATAAATCACATTTTCGTTTGGAATTCGATCATAAATTGACTCGCTCTTCTCCACTCCAGCCACATTGAATGATTGGTCCGATTTTCCGTTAATTTCATGCTTTGCATCATCTCTACTATTCTGAATAGTATTCGTGTCAGTTTCAATGTCTAACGACATTGCATCCAATTCAGGATTGTTTTGTGGTTCATAGTTTACTTTCAATAAAATTCGTTTATTTATCATGGGATTTTTATCGGCCGCCAAATTCAATGCAGCATTCGTTGTATCATCATTTATTGCTCTCTCCATCGTATCGAATAGACTTTGACTATTATCTAAATCAATGGTTTCTATCTTATTATCTGGTTTTTGATTTAAAAATGTTTTTGATGTTTGTAACAAGCCCAATATCGGTTTGGATTGCTTAGTTTTTGGTGTTTCACCAGTTAATATCTGAAAAACAAAAAAATATTTCGATTGCATTTAATTTTGAATATATATTGTGGGCACAGTGGCTACTACGACTACTGCGGCACTATTCGATCAACTGAGTTAAGCTGCACAAGCTTTGGTCAGGAGATAAATTGATGACCGTTTAGAACATCGTATGTAGTCGTAAAATACTGTGTCAACCGTGTCTGTGTACAACAAAGGTATGGATTTCAGCACAGACACGTAAAATAGAAATCCAACGCCATATAGAATATGGTAAAATCATAAGAAATGTAGGATACAATCGGCTGATCACCAATTTATCTGAATTAATTGATCAACAGAAACCAGAAAGATAAGAATTCTTATCTCAAGGCCCTATGCTCCACTAGGAGTTAAAGGAAATAAAAAAAAAATATCTCGTGGTATATTACTTACCTCAAAACCTTGATCACGTAAATCTCGTTCAATGATAATTGACTGAGCGTTCTGTGGAAATTGAATTAACGACGTGCCACTAGCATAATACATGCCGTGATCACCAATACTGAAATATCCTTCGGACACTTCATCGCCAAATGCAATACCAAATTGATCAAGCAGCTCATTTAATGCTGGTATATTAGCACCGCCCGTGTCGGGCATCCACCATTGTCGTGTATTTTCATCATAGAATTTTATCTTTCGAATAACGCTGGTATTATACCAATCGGCAAAGACGATCACACTCAAATTAAATTCTAATATATCGTTTCTTAGTTTTTGGATTTCTGTATTGAAATATTCTTCTTCTGGGTCGACAATTAGTAAGGTGCCATAGTTTGTGGCATTAAAACAGGTGAATGGTTCGCCAAGTACTTCAACATAATAGCCAGCATTGCGTAAATGTATATACATATCCCTGAAATTTGTGTGAATGTGATCGGCACGCCAGTCCAGTGGATCGGATTTCATTTTAAGATTATCTCGCGGCAAGTAACCAGGTGGATAGCGCAGACTATGATACTGATCCCATAGAATTCGCTTTTGGCGTGGCGGACGTGGTATAACTTTAACACGAATATAGAAGCTAACGGTACTATTTCGTAGCTCTTTATCATTTGCGCCCGGACTTTGAACAGTCAATGTAATATGTCCTTGAGCTATTCCCTCGAATTTTTCGCCCAACTCATTAACGGCTGCAATAATTCAATTCAAATAAATATTTTTTTTTTACAAATATGATTGAATAGTTTTTGTTTATTTACCAATTCGAACACCAATCCAACCGGACCATGGCCATAGAACTTCGGAGTATGTGATCGATACATTTAATAAATTTCCATTTTGCAAAATATATGGATGCCATGTTGGCTTATTAATCAAGCGACCGGTAACACCCATTCCATTCAATATCGTTACATTTGCAATGGTTGGAACGCTGGTATAAAATAATGACTGTGTACTGTAGGGCCACATATAATCCTCGGTGAAATCCAAATATGGCGGACTTAACGTTACTTTCGGCGTATATTCAGATAAAATTTTCATGCTTTTCAAAATATTCAGCTTTCCATAACCTTGTTCAAACATATTATTATCATGTAAGCGTGTCGCACCCTCAATTAATGCCTGTTTCATCGATGATGGATTCACCAAATCTCTGTGTGGAAATATAAATCGTTTTAGATATTTTATGAGGTATTAAATTGTTCACAGTGTTAAACACTCACAGTTTATCAATGACACCACTAGCCAATAGTGTAACGGCACCAGCAACTACTGGTGATGCTACCGATGTACCAGACAACGATCGACAACCACTTTTTATATTGCTTCCCTTCACTTGGCTACCGTAAGTGACAATGTCCTAAATTAATATGAAATGACAAAGTTAAGAATAATAAGTTATTTATTTAACACAAATTCAATCCAAGTAAATAACAAAAGTACCGGCTTTAGGCGGCCATATCCATACGGTAGTTCCCATGTTGTCATTCCTCTTGAGCTGAATTTGGCGATATTTTCATCGAAATTCATTCCGCCAACACCGATGACATCGCTTTGATCGCCAGGATTATTGAGAGTTCCATACAATGGACCATCGTTACCAATTGCCGATACCATAATCACTTTGTTTGCCGTTAATTCAAGTACCTTATCCACGAATGGATGATCCAGAAAGTCTGGTCCCCCAATGCTTAAATTTAAAACATGAATTTTCCGTAAAATTGCATAGTTAAATGCATCCAGAAACCATGATGTGTACGACACTTGATTGTTGGTGAAAACACGATAGATATGAAGTTCAGCATCTGGTGCAAATCCCAAACAATCTTTACTTGATGCAATCACACCAGCAACAAATGTACCATGACTTACACCGTCATCAAGGGTTTTCTCATTTGTCCAATTTGTACGCTCTTTAACACGTTTAAAATGCGGATGATCCCTGGCAAGTCCTGTATCAAAAACAGCAACCCGAATACCTTTGCCAGTAACTTGCATACTCCACAATCCATCGGCCTTTAGCATTGATGTTAATTGACGTGGAATAGCGGCACGAAGTAGACGACGATTGGTATGCCGATTTGACGTTGATTTGAACGATGAATTATTGTCATTGTTTCGATCTTTGTTTTGTGTACTTTTGAGACTGCGTTGATGAAACTGCTTGAATTGACAATTATTTTGTTCGCATTCGGTGTCTGATGTGCTGCTTGTGTCCGCATTATTTATATTTAATTTATTCATTAGCTCGAATAGTAATCGTTCATTCTCTTCTTCTTCAGCCGCGTCTTCGATATAACCGGCACCGCCGCCGCCGCCGCCATCATCATCGTCCGTCTCATTGAATTGATTCGAATCATATTCGTAATTTGTATTGTTGCTCGTGTGCTTACCTTTTTCACCATTTGCAATTGGAATGTATTTAAGATTTCTAAGCACCATACGTTGTGGCGTAATACTTTTGATCGTTTCATAGGTGCGTAGTTTTTCAATAGCCGTAAATGGTGCATTTTCATCGATCATAACAACATCAAAGTCGCTTGGATATTCACTGGCCGGATTTTGGCGTTTAATCACTTGCCAATTCAATGCGGTCGAACCATTCAGGGCATTTTTTATGTGTTGCGCACGTATCTCGGGCAAAAAATACTCCTTGAAACGTACGATATATTCATTTTGGACAACAGTTGTTGTATATTCGATTTCAATGCGATGATTTTCAGATTTTTTACTCGAATTATTACAACATCCAGTTTTATCAACATTCTCAACCACATTGCCGGTACCTTGATATTGTACGGCCGAAACTACACCCAAAATAAATGCACTAAACACAACAAATCTCCAAAAGCATATTTTATTTTTTATATTGACTCTGTGACGAGCATATTTTCCGAAAATGTTCATCGTATTTTTTAAACTTAATTTCACGCCTATGCATTTGTTACAATAATTTGTGATTTTTTCGAAATTTTATCACTGAATTGTCTATCGAATTGCATTGTTTAATGGGATGCATTCAAACATTTTCCTTCGCTTTAATTTCTTACATTTTTTTATTGAAACCATAGATAAATCACGATTATTTTTCAATTCACTGAATCTCACGTTGTTTATATTTATAATCGATTAATTGTTCGTTTTCATTTTATTGACTCAAATCATACATCTGGAGTTCGCTCAGAATCTGTAAATATTAAGAATAAAAAGAGAAGAAAACAATTGGTCAAAAGTAATGTAAGAATTTGCGAAAGAATTTGGTACAAACAGATACAAGTTAAATGTTATTTCTAACTCATTCAGATTCTTATTAATTATGATCAATGCGAAATTTCACAAGGGAAAATGTGCATTATTTTTGGAAATTTGTTTAGCAAGAAAAATAAAGTGAAAACGATGAACGAATGGATCGAAAATAATCAGAACACTTGAACAAACGTTTTACGAGATTGTCAATTGTCAAAAAAAGAATGAATTTTATCTTCATTTTATTTAATTTCAACCCATAATATGTTTGAAATAACAAATGTTTGGAAATTGAAGAAAATTGTACTTGAATTAGTTTGGAAATAAGCATTATTTCCGACAATGATGAAAATGAAAATATAAAATAACATACGTTTCGATACACTAAAATTTTGGCGTAAAACAATTTACTTTAAATTAAATAATAAAATGACATTTCTAATTTCTTTATCAATTTATTGTGTGTAATTCTTTATAATTCCTTTTGCTTGATAATGAAACTGTATAAAATACGCAACAAACTAAAGCGTAAGCAATTTCCGTCTCTGTTTTCTTTCATTTTTGTTCTCATGTCATCACACTCTTCTTCGCTCACTCTCTTCTGTATATGTCAGCCATGCTTGTCTTTGTATTTATTTATAATAACACCACTGTATGACTGTGTGTTAACCATACGTCTACTTCAATGTGTTTGTAAGTATAGCCGCAAAACAAATGTCAGAGAAAACAGACTTTATACCGATGTAAATAAAGTAAAATAAGAAATTTTCACGATTCACGAAAATGGATTCCTTGATTCAAACAAGCAAAAAATAAAAACTTTACCAAGCAAAAATGAAAACTCATATTTCACATTCATTTTATGACATTTATTATTATCGTGTATTTAGCTTAATGTGACACGTAGTTGATTACATTAAGTTATGGAATAGAAGGATATATATATATTCTTGTTCAGTGATTTTAGAGAAAACCAGAAAAGATAGAGAGTTTGGGTTTTCGGCATTCAATAGGGCACATAACCGTGGTCTATATAAATTTTGTTACCGAAAACACTGACGCGCTCCCTGATGACATTGAATCAAACTATTCTGTCCCAAATGTGTTGTGTTGCATCTAACAGTTGGCGCTCGCATTCACAATAACAAAAATCCACTTAAAAAGTCTAAAAAGTACAGAAAAATAATTTAAAAAAGTAACAATAAATAAATTTCAAAACGTTTTTAATGGAAATTATTTTTCTTTCTAATTTTGTGGGATTCTGTGTTCACAATATTCAAAAATATTAAATTAGAAAACTAAAACAAACTTATCTGTCCCAAACTGTCCCAATGTTTGTATTTTATTTGGAGCAGTGCTGTCAACTGCCAAACATCTTTTTTTAATTTTCCAAATTATTTTTGCATATGGAAATGTCACATATTAATGTGGGGCCGTAAACAATGTTTTCATTATAAATTCGGCACAGGTCTTTGAAATCGACCGGAATTTGACTACCCGTGCATTTTGAAAATAAACCAATACAACATTTTCTGACATTTCGAAACAACAAATATCACATTTGATATTTTCTATAGTACTTTAAAACCATTATAATCAGAGAAGCACTAGAAGTCACTCCATTTAAATTTATTTAAATTAAAATCACTAAATTGGATATTTTGAAAATATTTCAATATTTTTCATTTTTCTTCTGATAAAATTTAGGCGTGTTTGTCGACTGGTTCTGATGTCAAGTTTTTAATCGTACGTTTCACGTTGCTCCCCTGGAAATAACACTAAATTTCGATTTGAATTGTTAAATTGCATTGATGTGCCCTTTGGAACTGAGGGCGCTCGCGTCGATTGTGTTACATAAACTCAAGTTGCTTCCCCTGCATGTAAATGTATCTGTCAGATTGATGTGTATGAAATGAACAAATAACCTCAAATTAAAAATACTAGAAATACTTTGTTTCTCGAATAGTCGTATTTATAACGATGATATTAAATTATTTGCGGATTTTCGGGCATTCAATTCATCGAAATGCTTGTAAGTATTGAATGAGGTATTCAAGTATCATTTAAAGCTAATGCGATTTCGTTGTAATTCATAGTAACGGTGTGTTCAACGAGGAAATTATTTACAAAAGAATTTCTA